CGAGCCGGGTCGCAGGTTCTCCACCTGGAACGACTGCAAACAAACCCGCCGCATGCGCCGAAGTTTTGGCTAGTTCAATGAATGTCGTTTGGGTCGCGGGTGGGTCGCGAGCTCTCCACCTCCACCTGGAAAGAAATCAAAAAATCCCGCCGCAGGCGCCGAGAATTTTGATTTTTACATTGAACGCGGTTTGGGTCGCGGGTGGGACGCAGGTTCTCCACCTGGAACGAATGCAAAAACGCGGAAAATTTTGGATGGGTCGCGGGGTGGGTCGCGGGTGGGTCGCGGGTGCAATTTGGGTCGCGGGTGGATCGCGGGTTTTCCACTTGGAACGACTGCAAAAGAAACCCGCCACAGGCGCCGAAGTTTCGGTTTGTTCAGTGAACGTAACTTGGGTCGCGGGTGGGTCGCGGGCTCTCCACCTCCACCTGGAAGGAATTCAAAAACAGCCCGCCGCAGGCGTCGAAAATTCAGATTTGTACATTGAACGCGATTTGGGTCGCGGGTGGGACGCAGGTTCTCCACGTGGAACGAATGCAAAAGAAGCCCGCCGCAAGCGCCGTCAATTTTGGGTGGGTCGCGGGGTGGGTCGCGGTGGTTCGCGGGTGGGTCGCGGGCGCGGTTTGTGTCGCGGGTGTATCGCAGGTTCTCCACCTGGAACGAGTGCAAAAAAAACCCGCCGCATGCGCCGAAAATGTTGGGTGGGTCGCGGGGTGGGTCGCTGGTGGGTCGCGGGGAGGTCGTTGGGTGGGTCGCGGGTGGGTCGCGGGGTGGGTCGCGGGTGGGTCGCGGGTGAGTCGCGGGGTGGGTCGCGGGCGGGTCGCGGGGCGGGTAGCGGGTGGGACGACGACAACGACAAACAAACAACAAACAAACAGCAAATAGCAGCAGCAGCAACAACAACAACAACACCAACGACAACAATCATTTTAAGACAGTTTGCTCGCATATGCTCGCGAGTCATTCAATATGCATATCCGAAACCCTGGATACCCGCCCTCTTCGTCTTCGATCGTACCCCCATTTTGGGGGGTGTATTCATGCCCTGCCACATGTGGTTGGCGAAAGCCTTGAAAACGAAGGGTAGTAACATATAACGGGGGAGAATGAGGACGAAGGGATGGGAGGAAGGGATGGAAGGGGTAAGGAGGAGGGAGGACGATGATTTGCGCTGCGAGTGGCGATTCAGCTTGCGCCATGGCTTCCAACAGCCACTCCAACACACGTTAACAATAAATTTCACCGTGGGTCGCGCCATCAACAGCGCCACGCACCACCCCCTTTGAAAGAACATATCGTGGATACCCCCACGGGGGGACGTACAGCTGCGAACTGGTGTCAGAAACAAATTTCGTGGAACCCTGAAAAGAAGCGGGATGTTGGGAGAGCGGGGCGGAAGGATAGTGAGAATTGCAACCGTGCCGACAAGAGCGCGGGGTTGTGAAGTGGATTGGGATGGAGTGGACAAGAGTAGGGTCTCAGAGGGAGGAGCGGCAAGGAGTGGAGAAGAGGAGCCGGGAGGACTGCGGAGGGGCGGGGGGCGCACGGAGGAATCTGGAGGAGGACTGGGAATAATTTGGGAAATGCGGAACGCGAGAGGGAAAGGGTGGAGATTGTTGGGGTGGGATGGGGTGGCCTGGGGAGGAGTGGGCGGAATGCGAAGAACTGAGGAATAGCACAATGGAGTACGAGCGAAATGAAAATGAAGATGGACAGAACAGAAAAAACCGGGAAAGAACGTCCCAAGCGAGAGCGCGATTCTTCAAGAAATTGTGAAGAAGTATCAAGCGGGAGCCGCGATCCGGTGGTAAATTGCAAGGAAGTCCCAATTCTTAAATATATTGTGAGGAAGTATCAGGTGGGAGCCGTTGTTGTTGTACACCGGGGACCAACCACGTAGTTTGACCCTCCAGAGTTTTCCTGGTAAAAAACAGGGTGCGAGCCCCGGGAAAGGTACTTCAATCGAAAAAACAATGCGCACCGGACGGGGTGGATCAACAATAACTATTCTTCAGAAGTGAGAGTTCAACAACAACAACAACAACAACAACAACAACAACAACAACAACAACAAGAGACCGCATCGCGGAATTCCACTTCAGCCACGCACCCAGGGACAGCGAATGACCGTTAGGTTCAGCCCCCTCACTCTGAGAAAGTCGTTGGTTCTTAGAGGTGATTGGAACACCGCCACCTTTCCCTGAGGCTCAGGAACAATTCAGTGGAGGGCGTCTGTGTATCTAGTTTTGTGGCGGAGGCGGGTTGACGTCATATTGCCTGCAGCGTGCAATACCCGCACACCACACCATCCCTCTCAGAAAATAAATACAAAATGCACGCTGCACCAAAATCTGGATCATGCGCGGACACCCCGCGATCACTTTGCGTTGGTTTCGGAAAGGGACGGCAGGGGGGCAGGCATACTGTCTGCTGTGTGCAATGCCAACCACCCCCCGCTATCCCTCGCAAACGCCGATGCGAAACTGCATTTTCCACCTAAAGCTGGATCATGCACTGGTATCTTGCGCTCACATTGTATCGGTTTTTGAAAGGGGTGGTGGGGGGGCCGGCATAGTGTCTGCTGTGCGCAGGACCACCATACCCTTCAACAACTAATGCAACATTCATGTTACCAGGGACGGCAGGGGGGGAATACTGCCTGCTATGCACAGGCCCACCATCCCTGTCAAAAGACGAATGCAATGTGATCGTGGGCGCCCACCCGCACATAAAACATAATGCCCGCAAACCCGCCTTCCCTTTGCAGTGGTTTTTGACAGTGACGGTGGGAGGGTGGACATATTGCCCAATGTGGCGAACCTGGTGCGCGTGGCGCACCTGGCAGATTTGGAGCGCGCACCTCGCGGGCTTCGCGCACCTGACTGGCGTCTGGATTGGTTCCCGATTGTTGTCGATGGCGGCCCCTGCTCATGCTGGGAATCGGGTGCCGCTCATGTATTGGGAGGGCGGGTGGGAGTCCCCGGTGGGAGAGACCGATACGACTTATTGCTTATGTGTAGCATGACCCTTCCCCTACCCGCTCTCCCTGGGCCCGGACGGATGGAGCCGCGAGCGGTCAGAGCGTCCAAGATGGCCCAAGATGGCTCCAAGGGGGCCTCAGAGAGCCGAAGAGTACATCCAAGATGGCTCAATATAGCTTACAACATGTTCCAAGAGGCGCCACGACCGCAGCACGACGGCTCCAAGTGGCCACGGAGCCTCCCGAGGAAGCTTCCAGAAGGCCAACATCCTTCAAAAAAGCGTTAAACCGATGTGTGTTGTCTTCTCGCCATTTCGCTTTCGACGGCCCTCTGAAGCCTCGAGGTGGCTCTAAGAAAAGCCAAGAGAGCCTCGAGAGGAGCGCGAGGGGGTCCCAAGACGGCCCCAAGAGCGCCCAAGGGCGCCCCCAAAGGCCCAAGAGACGAGTTTAGGAGCTCCAGGGGGGCAGCGCTTCTTGAGCGCCCCCCCCACCCATTCGTCTTTGACCGATGTCCTCCAAGATGGCCCTAAGAGGGCCTCCGAGGCCCCCAAGAGTGCCCCAAAGGGCCCCAAGAGGGCGCCCAGAGGGACCCCGAGAGGTCCCAACAAGGCTCCCAAGAGACCCCCAAGAGGCTCCAAGAGGCTCCGCCGAGGCACCCAAGACGCTCCACAAGCCCTCCAGGGCCGTCAAAAGGCCCCCAAGAAGCCCCAATCGGACCCCAAGATGCTTTCAGGAGACATCCGAAGAGATTCCGAAGGGAATCAAGAAGCCTCTGGCCTTTCTGCTCGCCCTCCTCCTTTTCCTCCTCCTCCTCCTCCTCCTCCTCCTCCTCCTCCTCCTCCTCCTCCTCATCATCATCATCATCATCATCATCATCATCATCCGCCTATTCCTCGGTATCCTCCTCCTCCTAATCCTCCTCCTCCTTCCTTCCCCTCCTCCTCATCCTCCTCCATCCTTCCCCTCTTGGGGTATGACGATTTCCCCTGGCCTTCATTCTACTGCATGTTCATCCACATCCCTGACCAGGGTAAATCACCTGGGCATCATTTCTGGACGGACTGGTGGGGTTACGCGAAGCGTCTAGAATTACTACGGCTAGCTATTTTAAGCGAATGTCTACTACAACGAGCGCGCATGCTTTGTCAATGTGCGATGCGCAGTGCGACACCATGGAAAAGGTTGGTGTGCCTACTCATATTGCTCCCGCTGCTTGTGTTATGTCATGCTAGTATGTCTTACCTGGTACGGTCATCCCCAACGTAATACTGCAACTACTGGCATCAACAAAACGACGGCTCCTGAAATGACTGCAACTAACACCACTGCGAGCATCGCCACCGCTAACGCTGCTATGCGACAATCTACGCATGTCATGTCCCCATCAAATCTGACACCGGAATCCCACGACAACGAAATTCACGTCGGATAAGCATGATTCATAAAAATGGGGCAACCTTCCACGTCGCTCGATACCGTTCAGTTCAGATCCTCTCTAACCAATTCCACCTCGTATGGTTCCTCGCCCTTAATGGTCCTCGCCTCTCGCTATACATGGCATAATTTCCTACACACTTGGGGCTGTAGGGATCTTCACAACCAGTTTTGCAATGGGGCGGGGCGACATCGGCGTTCCATTGGGGTCACCAGGCGTGCAAGGTGTTTACACTCCCCGAGCCCATCCCCTGGAAGACATGTCCAACCGATTTGGAGGTGGGCGGGTGTTTCCGCGAAACTTGAGTGCCAGCTTACTTGATGGTATCCTGGCCTGCTGGCATGCTGTCTTGCGCGCTTGCTTCATGGCTTGCTTCATTGATTGCTTCGTTCCTTGTTCATCCGCTTGCTGCTGCATCCTGTCCCACAATGCTGCTTGATGGTGCATGCAGATGCTGTGTCTTGCTTCTGCTGCCACCAACTGATCACCGGTGGGAAGTGCTGGTTGCTGCGGTCTGGTTCTGCTGCTTGCGATGGCATGTTGCTGGTCCTTGCTGTTTGCCTGCTCCTGCTTGCAGCGTGCTGCTTCGTGGTGCGATATGAACGAGTCGTGCTGCTGTTGTGTTGCTGATGGTCGCCTACATGTTGTTGCCTGGTAGTGCTGACTTCGGTCGCAACGCCGCCCCGTTTCGTAGCACAGATGATCACATCATGATTCACCTTCACCACCACATCGCGCTGAGCAGCGCGAGGGCCTGCTGCCGCTGGCTGCCTGTACTGCACTGCGGATGGTCGCTATCGCAACGAAAAAGGTCAAGACCTTTCTCTCATGCGCCGGTTCCATAGCAGCAGATGATGGCGCTGTAGCTGATAGTTGGCGACATCGTCTCTGCGGAGCAGACAAGTGATCGCAAACTTGTAAGCCTCTCGCCTTTGAGCTTCGCTGGCATGCTGGCTCTCCCGGAGCAGCGACAGAGCAAGCGACCACAGCTTACCCGACAGCTTACCCGTCTCGCACGCGTGGATCCATCCGCTGTACCATATCCAAGGCTGGCCTGTGGAGTGCGCCTCTGAACTCTGCACGACCTGGCCTAAGATGGCGGACATGCTTCGAGTAACCGAGAAACATATACATAAATTGCTGAATTCTTGGATCGGCGCTGGACCCCGTCCGTGTCGCGCGGATTGCGCCAGGGGCGGCGCCAAAGCCGCCAGAGGGCTCCAGCGCCGATCCGAGAAATCAGCGCGGACCTCCCAGAATGGTGTTTATGCAATTCGTTGTGTTTCGAATGTTTCCCGAAAACTCAAATAACAACGCAGGTCTCGAACTTTGCAGTCCGCGCCTGCTACTGCGGCCGCTGCTTGATTCCGCTGCTCCTGAGTGCTGTTGGTAATGCGTGCCGCGGCAGCATGCTGCTGCAGTTCGTAGCTGCAGAGGCTGCTGCCTGACAGGAAAAAACGTTCTTTTATAGACTGTTTTGCCGATCGGCGCGGGCCTCCGCTCTCCACCATGCACCAGCTATTGGCTGCTTTGGGTGATTGCTTCAACCAAATTGAAAAAGCACTGGGGGGCCCGCCCTCCCCCCGGGGGGGCACGCGAATTGCTGCTTTGCGAACTGTGCATGTATTATTCGGAGCGCCGTTCTGGAAAATGAAGGAAAGCTTCAGGGCGACAGATGCGTTCATATATATATATATATATATATATATATATACAAACATACATACACTGCAAACACATCTGCATATATGATAGATAGACATATCTATACATGGAAAAACCTACCCCCAGGGATAGCCAGCCGTGGTGGGATCCGCTGGAACTGCAGGATGATACAGATGAGGGGGCGAGGAAAACGAGAGGAGGGCGGTGTGGAAGAGGGAGGGAGGGAGGGGGGAGGGCGGGGTTTGCGGCGTCATCTGTGCTACTCGTTGCCCGCCCCGCCGGCTCAGTAAGATCTGGGGGCGTCCCCACAGGGGATCCCAGCGTGATGGGAAGTCACGGTGACGCGAGCCCCGCCCGCCCCGCTCCTCCCCCCGCCCCTCCCTTCTATACACCCTCCCCTCCCCCCCCCCCCCCCTCCGCTCCTCCCCCTTCTTCTGTTCCTGCTCCTCCTCTTCCTCTCTCTCTCTCTCTCGTCCTGGTCCCTCTGCTGCTGCTTTTCCTCCTCCGCCTTCCCCCTCCTTTTCTATCCACTTTCATGTTTGCTCCCTCATCCTCCTCCTCCTCCTCCGCCTCCCGCCTTCCCGTTCGTAAGTTGGATGGGCACCCTCCCTGTGCTATTCTTTGGGTGGGCGCCCTCCAAAATGCAGTCTGGAACAGAGTGTTCGGATGGGCACCGTGAACAAGCTATTGTTTGGATGGGCACCTTCAAAGAGGCAATCTGAAACATTTCGTGTGGATGGGCATTCTCGAAGCGAGCGCTAGCGCTTGGATGGGCACCCTCCAAGAGCTATTGTTTGGGCGGGCACCTTCCAAGAGGCATTATGAAAGACCTGTTGGTTGACACCCTCCAAGACCTGATGTTTGGATGGGCACCGTACCAGTGGCAGTGATGAAAAAGTGCGTAATCACGATTATAAAAAGGTTCAAAATGTATTGAACCGTTTTGATATTGTACCTGCATCAACACCTCTATATCTGAAGCGCTCCTCTGGCGACAAAGACGCCTCTTCCCTAATTTCACGGCGCCTGTTCTTTTCGCTCCCTGGGCCTTGTGCTCGAACCACTCTGGCCCTGGAGCTGGCCACTTTCGGAAGCGAAGTCGCTCTTGTCAGTTGTCCTGCGGGCTGTCTGGTATCGGAGGTCTCAAGTTGCGCCGACATCTCTGCAATGGACTCGTTTTCCGATCCAGTTCCGCAGCCTTTTCACGTTATGGACGACCTTTTGTCAGGCTGCTCAGCGGTGTGATGTTTGGGTCTTGTAGTTTTAGTTCTGCCACCCTTCTCTAGCCTTGCTTTCTGATTATTGAGCCACCCTTGGTTATTGAGCAACCTTTTTCTCGCTCTTCAGGCTTTCTTGCTCCGAAGGTTGCCTTGTCTGGGGCTGCTGGCTCTCAGGTCATGGAGGCTCCTTTGTTTAGATACGAGCGCTTTCTGGCTATGAGCCCCTTCTGTCCTGGTTCTGCAGTGTTTCTGGCTCCGGAGGCTTGTTTTTTCAGCTCTGATGACCTGTCTGGTTTAGGGTGTGTTTGTTTCTAATTCTGCAGGCTTGCTGGTTCAGGGTGAGTGTTTCCCTTGCACTGCAGGCTTCCTGGCTCGGGTCGCTTGTCTCTCTAGCTCTGATCTAGAGGTACTACTTCTCACACGCTGCAGGCTTTCTTTGTTCGTCGGTTCCTTCTCTGGGGTCTGCAGGCGTTCTCTTCAACGACAACAACAACAACAACAACAACAACAACAACCACAACCACAACCACAACCACAACCACAACCACAACCACAACCACAACCACAACCACAACCACAACCACAACAACAACAACAACAACAACAACAACAACAACAACAACAACAACAATCATTTTACCCGAACGCGTGGTGTTCTCCCCAGTGCCAGGGTTTTCATACGACACCAGGCAATACCCCCACTTCGTGGGGGGGCATTACAAGCTCTACCAAATATCCAAACGACTCTTCGCGACCACCCAAACCCAGCTTCCCGCCCTATGACGTTGGGACACTTCACTTCGTGGCGTGCGGACGACCGTGGCTACTACACTGGCGTGGGGTACACACCCACAGAACTTGGTCACTTATTCGGGGGCGCGCGCGGGTGGAAATTTTGAAAAGTCGTGCAGGTGTTTTTCGAGGACCTACGGTGCGATTCGTGTGATTTTATGATGCGCGGTGCTAAAATTCTTAAGAACCCAATGGTTTTTGGAGATTTCGGCGTGCGCGCGCGAAGAAAAAACGAATGTGTCCCGCATGGTATTATTTGACAGGGATGATGGCCCTGGCAGGTGCGCAACCGTTGTCGCAGAAGTTCGAAAAAGTTGCTCGCAAAAGCCCGTTTGACAGAAATGTTTAAAAAGTGTTGGGTTTCCTACGAATCCGCAAGAGCGCGCGGGATGAGATTTTGACATTTTTTTGTTGAAAAACCATTGGTTTTTTGATGTTTTTATGTTAAAATCGCTCCGAACACTAAGCTTTTGGAAGGATTTCGTCTTGCGCGCGCGAATGTCCACTTTACCTTATTTTTTGCAAGGGATTCTTGAAATTTGATTATATTAGAACAAGAAATGTCATTTTATAGTGTTTTTTGCAAGGGAAAACGGATTACAACAAAACAACCGGATCTTGATGACATCGTATTACCTGAGGCTTCCTCACGAAAATGATGAAAATGTAGCTGCGGCCTAGGCGGCGCAGGGGGGCCGTGCACCAGGGGTCCCAACAATAATTATTCTTTAGAATTAATAATGTTCAACAACAACAACAACAACAACAACAACAACAACAACAACAACAACAACAACAACAACAACAACAACAACAACGCAGATGCAGTTTGCGCTCCCCTCCAAGAAGAGTTTGATCCAGATTTAACACTTTTAACGGGATCTCCGGTCGGAGGGTGAACTCTAGAGTAAACACTCTTACGCAATTGCCACCAACAGGCCTACATAGGCCCAAACGATTATGAATTTCACCGATATGTATTCGCAGTGTCGGTCAGGACGCCTTTCTAAGTCGATTGGAGAGGCAGCTAAGAGGCTTTGAGAGGCCGCTGAGAGGCCACTAAGAGGCCATGAGAGACGAAGAATCCGTTCTGGGGCCATCCTCGGGGTAAATCCCTTCGACGCTCGGCGTCCACGAGAAAGGTTTCATCTGGAGTTAACCCCCTCTCAGGGTGAATACCTTGACGCTCGCCCAACGGATGGTCAAATCCAGATTGAACCTTCCTGGAATCGTGATTACCGCCTCCTCCGCAGTATGATACCTATTGTTTTGGATGGGAGCCCTCCAAGCACGATTGCTTGGATGGGCACCATTCAAGAGGCAGTCCAGTCTGAAACCCAATTGTTTGAATGGAGGGACCCTCCAAGGGACACTCTGACAACGATTGCCTGGATGGGCATCCTCCAGTAGGCAGCCTTCCAAGAGGCAGTCGCAAACCTGTTGGTTGGCACCCTCCAAGACCTGTTCTTTGGGTGGGCACCCCCCGAGTGGCAGTCTGATGCCTTCTTCTCCAGATGGGCACCCTCAAAGCGCTATTGTTTGGATGGGACCTTCAAAGAGACAGTCAGAAACAAACGTATTGTTCGGATGGACACCCTCCAAGCGCTACTACTGCTTGAATGGGCATCCCCCAAGCGGCAGTCGGCAACCTATTGTTTGGATGGGTACCCTTCAAGAGCTATGGTTTGGATGGGCACTTTCCAAGAGGCAATTTGAAACCTGTTGTTCTCCTTCTCCTCCTCCCCCCTCCTCCCCCAGTCCTCAGCAATTGAACCGTTGCCCAAAGAATCTCCAGGACCCCCGTCGTCAACACTCTCCCTCCCTTCCGGGTCGTCCTCCGTCCTCGATCCTCGACTATCTGTCCTTCTCCCTCCTTCGTCGATCCTCCACCTCCGTCCACGATCCTGCAACCTCCCACTGACTCTCTCCCTCGACCCTCGGTCCTGGAGCCTCCCTTCTCGCCCCCTCCTCCTCCTCCTCGTGCTCCTTCCCACTGCCTGACCCTGTCGTTGCAACCTTGCGCCCAAAACCACAAATCCATGTTTGGAGGTTGGGTCGGGGGATTCACATGTCGACTCGGGGTGCCTTTGGTGTCAAAAACTGTCGTGGCAGATCCGTGTTCCCGCCTCTGAGTAGGTTGGAGTTGGGGATCTGATTGCAGTCAGCGGCGCCTCTGATGCCAGAAGTCGTCGTGGCTAATCCGCGCTCCCGCCTCAGCTCTATTAGCCAGCGGTCTTGGGAGCCTCTGGCGGTCCCGGAGGGGCTCTGAGCGCGTCTTGGGGCTCCCGGGAGAGCCTCTTGGAGCCTTTTTGGGCCTGAAGATGGCTCAATGGGGAGCCCAAGACGGCCTAGCAGGTGCCCAAGACTGCTCAAGAGGATCCCCAAGACTGCCAGTGGGCTTCGCAGAGGCCCCAAGAGGCCCCCCAAAGGCCCTCAAGAGCTCCAGAAGGCTTCACCAGGCCACAGAAAGGCCTCCCAAAAGAAGCTTGCCAAAGGCTCCCCACGAGACCCTAACTGTTATCCCAGGGGCCTCTGACCCAAATCCCGACATGGAGGCGGGATGGACCGAGGGCCACAAGGTATGAACTACCACCACCATCGACGTCATAATCACCAACATGACAATCGTCAGAGCGGTCACCCTTAGGGAATCCTGCAGGGATCCTTCAGGAATCCTTCAAAGGATACCTTGAGGTATCCTGCAAGAATCATCCAAGAATCATTCTGGAATTCCCACGAATCCTTCAGGAATCCTCGAAGAATCCTTCTGGAATCCTCAAAGAATCCTTCAGGCATCCTCCAGGATACCTTCTGGGATCCATCCGGGATCCTTCAGGGATCCTGCAGGAATGCTTCAGGAATCCTTTAGGAATCCCTCAGGGATCCTCCAAGAATCCTTCAGGAATCCTGCAAGAATCCTTCGGTGATCCTCCAAAAATCCGTCAGGAATCCTTCAAAAATCCTTCAGGAGTGCATCAGGAATCGTGAAGGGATCCTTCGGAATGCTGCAGGAATCCTTCAGGAATCCTCTAGGGATCCTCAAAGAATCCTTCAGGAATCCTCGAGCATCCTTCAGAAATCCTTCAGGTATCCTGCAGGGATCAGCCAGGAATCCTTCAGGGATCCTCCAAGAATCCTCGAGGAATTGTCCAAGAACTCTTCGGAAATCCTGCAAGAATCCGTCAGGAATCCTTCAGAAATCCTTCAGGAGTCCATCAGGAATCCTGAAGGGATCCTTCAGGAATGCTGCAGGAATCCTTCAGGAATCCTCCAGGGATCCTCCAATAATCTTCAGGAATTCTCGATCATCCTTCAGAAGTCCTTCAAAGATCCTTCAGGGCCCTTCAAGAATCCTTCAGGGATCCTCCAGGAATCCTTCAGGTATCCTCCAAGAACTCTTCGGGAATCCTCAAAGAATCTGTCAGACATCCTCCAGAAATCTTTCAGCAATCTATCAGGGATCCTTCAGGAATCTTTTTGGAAATCCTCGAGAATCTTCGAGGAATCCACCGAACATCCTTGAGGAATTCTGCAGGAATCTTACAGAATCCTTCAAGCCCAGGGGGGGAGCTGAAGCACGCTCTCCTGGTTGCAATCCGTAGGGCTACAATCGGAATCCTAAACGTTACGATCAGTCCGCTTCCAGTGGTTGTAACCGGTCCGACACAGAATCAATGATATGTGCCTTCTCGCCAGGGCCATCATGGGCGCTCCAATGGGTCGCGCCCCCCATTCCCGCCTAGGTCCAGGGGGAGAACGCCGGGGCGGGGGGGCGAACCCCTCCCGAAGGGAAGACGGGGGGTGGAGGAAGAAGTGCTCTACACCACTCGCGCCCTGAAGGGCTGGTTGGACCCGATCAACCGCCCACGGGCTTATGGGATTGATCGTGACGAGCGCGGGGGTGTGATTTGACATTTGGCCGCCAGTTCAAAGCCTCATGGCCAAAGACAGGGAACGGGGCAGAGGCCAAGAGGGAGTCATGGCATTGATGGTGATGATGACGAGAATAATGCTGATTACACAGTGATGACGGTGATAGTAATGACGATGGTATTGGCGATGGTGGTACCCATGATTATGGCACGGTTGCGGCGCTGTATTGGCGATGGTGACGAAGAGACAGGCGACAGTGAGAATGGCAACGACAATGGTGAGAGGAAGCCAGAGTCATCGATGCACACGTATAGGGCGCGGTGATGACGATGGAATTGATAGCAAAACAAACCCCATGATTTCTATGACTGTGACGATGGTATTGCTTCTGATGCAAGCGCAGTCGTACCGCTAATGTGAGCAGTGATAGGGTGATGATTAGGATGATGATGATGATGATGATGATGATGATGATGATGATGATGATGATGATGATGATGATCAAGATGACGATCCTGATGATGGGTGGATGATAAATAATGGTAATGGTGATGAGGCTGATGATGAAGATTATGATGATGATGATGGATGGATGGATGGATGGATGGATGGATGGATGGATGGATGGATGGATGGATGGATGGATGGTGGTGCTTCGTACGATTATTCTTTGTACTATGATGATGAGGACGAGGTTGACAAGGTTGATGATGTTGATGATGATGACTATGAGGACACGCTGCTGAAATTGATGATGCTGATATTGATCATCATAGGGATCATGATGCTGACGATGATGGTGGTAGTGATGGTGATGGTGATGCTGATGATAATGATGATGCTGATGATACTGATGATGCTGATGATGATGCTAATGATGATGATGATGCTGACGATGATGTTGATGATGATGATGATGATGATGATGATAATGATTATGACTATGATGAGTATGATGATGATGATTATAATGATGATGATGATGATGATGATGATGATGATGATGAAGATGATGATGGTGATGATGATGATGATGATGATGATGCTGCTGATGATGATGATGATGATGGTCGCTGCAAGCACGCAAGTGGAAAACAGCAGGGTCACGGTACCACCAACAGACTAGATTGTTCCCCAAAAAAACAAAAGCCCTAGGCGTCATCTCGGCGTCATCTTTGGGGTGCGTTGGGGGTCTGCTCTCTCGGGCCGCGTGAGGCTCGTCGAGGGCCAGACAGGGCCGACTGGGAACGCCCTGGCAGCGCACTCGGGCCCTCTGGAGCCCTCAGGACTGCTGGACTGCTCCGGGAGGCGAAGGGCGTTTTTGGGGGCTCCATGGCGCTCTTGGGAGGGCTGCAGAACAGCTCCACTCGGTGCACAGACCCTCTTCGCACGTCCGGGGCCCTGCAATGTGAGAGATGACGTCGGGCTTCAGCTTCCTCTCCCGCAGATCGCCGAGCAGCGCCAGAGCCTGATGCCACTGCTCGCTGTCCTGGCACGCGCTGATCGCAGCACTGTAGCTGTAGACGTTGGGATCCAACTTCGCCTCAGACAACTCGCTTAGCAACAACAGGGCGCTCTTCCACCGCCTGCCGCTTTGGCGGTACGCCCCAATCCCAAGGTTGTAGCTCCTGACATTGCGATCCACCTTTGCCTCACACATCTCACTGAGAAGCACCAGGGCCTGCCTCCACTGTAAGGCAACAAGGCACGCGCGCATCCCAGTGTTGTAGCTGATAACTAGTGACGGCCCGTAGGATACCAGCCCCGCAATCCGTCCGCGATGGTACGTTGGGTCAGGGCCGAGTTGGTACCGGAAGGCTTCTATGATCACTTTGGTGCCAAACTTCGCCTCTGTTGTTGCTGCCTGCAGCTGCAGGGTGCTGCTTCCTGCCGCATGGTGTTGCTACCGCAACTGCTTCCTGCTGCTGTGTGCTGCCGCTGCTTGCTGCAGCCTGATGCTGTTCGCTGTTGCTGCTTGAGGCTGCAGAGTGCTGCTTTTCGGTTCTCGTGCTCGCTGACGCGGTGTGCAGCTCGTGAGTGGATCGAAGAGTAAGGAGCAGGGAGTATGGTCAGAGGAGGGAGGTGGGAAAAACGAGGGCCGATCAGGGATGACCGAGGAGCAAGATGGGAAGATCGACGGCCGCGGAGCGAGAGAAAGAGCAAGAGAGAGAGAGAGAGGCGAGGAGAGATGAGAGAAAGCGGAAGAGGGAGGAGGGGGGTAGCAGGCGTCAGTAGCCAAGAGGGAGAAAAAGGAGCCAGAAGAGAGAAGGGAGCATCGAAGAGAGAGCTGCGAAGAGCGAGGAGCAGTGGGTGATAAACGAAGCAGTGGTCGACCGAGGAAGGAGGAGCATGAAGCGAGGAGGGGACCCTGGGCCAGAGGAATGGCCATCACGGGGCTCGCCAAGTGGCCTCCACACGCGAACGGTCGATCCATTGGTCTCCTCGCGGGAGCCTCTCGGGGCGTCTTTGGGGTTCTCCGAGGCTTCTGGTGGGCTCCAGGGGACTCTTGGAGACGTCTGGGAGGCCTGCTGCTACTGGACGTTTCGGGGTACCGATTTCGAGGGGGAGGGCTCCAAATGTCGGCTCGAGTTCCTCTTGGGCCCCTCTTGAGGCCCTGTTGGGAGCCTTCCAGCTCGTCTTCGAGGGTCTCGTGGAGAAGCTTGGGGGTGGGGGCCTCTCAGGGCGCCTGGAAGCCCTCTGAGGGCCCTCTTGGGGCCGTCTAAAGGCGATCTCGGGGCCTCGGAGGAATCCTGGGGGCCTCTGAGGCCGTCTGGGCACGTCTTGGTGGCCTCTTCTGCCGTCGTGGGGCCTCTTGGACCCGCCTCGGAGGACTCTTGGATGGTTTACGGAGCCTTCTTGGGGGCCTCTGGAGCCGTCTCAGGGCGCCTGGGCCGCCTTACGGCGATTCCTGGTGCTCCTGGGCCATCTTGGGGGTCGTGGGGCCAGAGAACAAACAGAAGGACTGTTATACACACAAAAAACACAATGGTTGCCAGCATGGGCACAAAACAGTAAGATGCTGCACGGGAGGTGCAAGCCATGTGGCGCAATCCATGTGATGAGACAACTACGTGGTGTACGCTGTGATGTGTATCCTATATGGTGCATTATATGTGGCGCGTGCTATGTGGTGCACGAAGTGTGGTGCAGTCTACGTGGTACAAGATACGCAATGCAATATATGTGGCGTGAGCTATGTGGTGTCACATATGTGCTGCAATATGTGTGGCGTGAGTCGTGTGTGTTGTACGCAACAAGTGGAAATCTAAGTTGTGCAATGTTATGCAATTCAACTTGCGTGGTGTGAGCTAGGATATCCGAGCTATGCGGTGTAAGCAACATGGTGTGAGCTACGAGATATAAGCTTTGTGGTGCTGTGGGCGATGTTGTTTACGCACGGTGCGCCCACGAGGCGACCATGGGAGGCAACGTGGCAAAACCTCGCAGCACCCACCGAACGCACGAAGCGGCCATGAGACCGCCACAGGCGACAACGCGGCAAACATTCGCTGCATCCACCCAGCGCACGAGGCGGCCACGGGCGGCAACGTGGACTGTCCTCGCCCGAGCCTCCAGATTCCATACCGAGGCAAGCAGGAGCCCCTCCGTGCAAGCACTGGCGGGGGCAGCTCAAGAACGTCTGAGGTGTGCGGTCCTCGCCGCACTCTCGGGGGTCCTCTGGGAGCCCTCGGGCCGTGCTCGGGACCTGTTGGGCCGTCTTGGGGACCTACAGTGCAAGGACAAAACATTCGAACACGCACACACTTGAGGGAGGTGCTCATCTCCCCCCCCCCGCCCTCGAAATCAATGTTGAGTGTAGCATGGGTAGGTGTTTAGGAGTTCGAATATTTTGTCCACCCAAGCACCCTTCAGTGGACGCACCCTCAATGTTACTTTGGGGGGTCCCGGGGGGCATCTTGCGCTGCTGGGTTCGAACTTCTTGTCTGGCACGGGACTGGGCCATCTGGGGACTCTCCGGTGGCCATCGGGGGATCTCCCGGGGCCTCTTGGGCTGTCCTGGAGCTCTCTCGGGCCAGGACGGCGTCGCCCCTGGAGCGGGGCCGCGGAGGCGCCGCGGCCCGAGTCGTTCAGAGTGGACCTTCCTGGCACGCAGGATGCCGGGTAGTGTGGTGCCGAGTAAATCGTCGGGCTTCAGCTTCACTGCCCGCATCTCCCTGAGCAGCGACAAAGCCCACTCCCACTGCTTGGCTCTCTTGCACGCGCTGGCCCCAGCATTGTAGCTGACGACGTTGGGCTCCAACTCTACATCCCGCATCTCACTGAGTAGCGTCAGAGCCCGCTGCCACTGTCCCTCTGTTTCGCACGCGCTGATCCTAGCCGTGAAGTTGACCAGGGTTGACCAATCGACTACTATCGACGAAATCTGTCCTAAATGGCATGTGGTGTGATTGCGGAAACGCTGCTGGAAATTCTTCGTATTGACATCGGTCCCGGCGGCTAAGCTGCGAGAAGGGAGAAACAATCAAGGAGTGAGCAAGGAGGGACGAGCAGGGAGGAGGCAATAGGTAGCCGTCACAGGGCTCCCCGAGGCGCTCTTGAGACTCTCGTGGGACCGCGTGGGGCTGGAGGAGACACTCGGAGAGAGAAGGAATGATCGAATAGCCAGGAGTGATAAGCGAGGGGCCCCAGGATAGAGGAACGACCAGCGAGAAGAGCGAGGAGCGATTGAGAGAGGGGCAAGGCGTGCCCGAAGAGCGCCAGGGAGCCTTTGGGGAGCCGCGGAGGGCCCGTGGACTGCCGAGGGTCGCGTGCCTGAGGGTCTGCCCGCCTGCTGTCTTGCCGTCGTGGTGGCTAGACTGGTGAAGTGATTCGGCGGCGCGCCCAGGGGGGAAGGGAGGAGGTGGAGGTTGAGGCCTTCTCAGAAGGGCGGCGGGGCTTCTAAGAAACTCTCCGGCCTCCTGAAAAATTGTCTGTGCCTTCGATTGAGGCTTGGACAACTTCTCAGAAAGCCAGGGACCATCCGAGTCTTCCGGCGGGCGCTTGGGCGTCTGGGAAGCACATTGGGCCATCGTGGAGGCCTCTCGCGGAGCAGTTGGACTGTTTGAGGGCGCTCCCTTCGGAATCTCGTCGGAGCCCTCGGATGCCTCCAGGGGGGGGACTCCAGGGATCTTCTTGGAGGCGTCATTGAGGCGTACTGTCGGGCGGAGCCTCTTTGGGCGAGAACGCCAGAATCATTCAAAAAGGTGTCGGAGCTCGATAACTTTGGCCTCAGCGGTTTTGGGAGCCTCCTCTCTCGGGCCCTCCCTTGGGCTTCTCGAGGACGCTTTGAGCTGCTCTGACAGCCAACCTTGGCCATTTCCCGCCATCGCTGGGACGTCCATTCCCCGTGCATGTGTTGGTTTCGTGCGTGTTTTGCTGTTTGCTCGATGCTCCAGCATGTCCCTAGATAGTCTTCGCCGAGGAAAAATGCACACGTCCGAGCGATGCCAAGTTTATGGTACTATGGAGGGCTATCTTCGCCATGTTGGGGTCACGTTGGTGGCATATGATGCCATGTCGGTGCCCTCTTCGAGCTCGTGTGGCTCTCGAGAGGCCTCTGCGGCGGCCCCTCTGGGGGGCCCGCGCCCTACCTGGGGGCAGGACCCTACTAGCACGCGCGGGAACCTGAAGTGTAGCATGGATGGCGTCGGGCTCTGGTCGAGATCCTGGCCTGCACTTCTTTCTTGCCGCTTCGGAGTGGGAGCAGTCTGGTCGAGATCCTCGCCAAGTGTCCAGCATCCAGAAGCGACCTTGAGCCCAGGTGGGATAAAGCCCCGCATGAGCAGGAGGGTCGAGCCAAAAATGGCTCGAGCAAGAATGATCGCACAACACACACACACTGCCTCAGACTCCTCTGACGAGGTGCACTTATGTCGGCGTTAGGCCCAATCGCCCTGCAGCCCGTGGCATCTTGTGTGTCCTCCGCGCTGCCTCCTCCTGGGCCCCCGATGGGTGTCCCATTGAATGAGCGCGGGGGGGGGCGGCACACAACACCGATACCGCTGCTCCCTGGACCTCAGCCCGGGGTAAGTTCTAACTTGGACGAGGCCCCCCAGGAAGCCCACGGAGGAGAAAACGATGAAGGGCATGGCCGTCAGGGTGTGATCCGATCCCCCCTCTGAGGCAACGACATGCCCGTGGCCACGGGGCCTTTGGCTCCTCGCGGCCAACTCGTGACTCCCTGGAGGAACGCCCAAACAGGGCTCCTGATGCCCCGAGCCAGTGGCCTGCGGGCCCCCCGTAGAAGCCCCCAATCGGGGATCCCAACAGATGGATCGGCAATGTAGCGGCGACATCGGCGATGCATCGCCCCCGGCGTGGAGAAGACCGTGCTCGCCCTCGAGCCGCATCGCCGATGCGGCGCGATCCTCCGACCGACCCCGTCTACTCGAACCACTTCTGGGAGGCCTGGATCCTGGCCTGTGGCCCGCGTGCCTCATCGTGCCTCCAGGGCCCCACCGTGGCCCGCGCTCTGGACCGGTCCCGGCACTCTCATAGGCCAACCAAGAAGTTCTCTTTTATCGATGTGTCAAAACCAGACGGCATCGGCCAAAGATGTTCTACGACCGTTTGCTGGAAAGCGAAGAGGGTTCTTAGAACATTCTCTGCTGGGCCTGTAGTGGGAGGGCAGAGAATCCACCCCCATAACAAGCACCCCGACAGGCGAAGCCGTTCAGTAAACGCACCCCGGGGAGGAATCGGACAGCGCAGGGCTGTTTAGTGAACGCCCAGGGCCGTTTAGTAAACGCCAGCTGGCGGGGTCGGGGTGCCTTTCCTTCTCCCGGTGCAGGCAGGCCGGGACGCCTCGCTGCTGCTCGGCACGGCGTGCGGCTTCCGGCTTCCGGCTCGGGCGCGGCGCGAGCCCGCGGCCTGCCCGTGCCCCGCGTGCGCGTGCCCCCCTCTTTGGCCCTCCCGCGGGGCGCTGCGCCTGCGGGCCTGGCCGCCCGTAGCCCGCGGCCGCTCGAGCGTGGTGCGCGGGGACCGCCCCCCCCCAACGAGCCAGCAAGAGGCCCAAGGAGGCCCCCAAGGGGCCTCCAAAGATGCCCCCAGAAAGCTCCCAGGAGGCCCAAGGAGTGCCCCAAGAGGCGCTTAAGAGGCCTATCCCTCCTCCTGCCCCTCCTCCTCCTCCATATTTTGCCTCCCTCGCCACTTCTTCTTTCTCTCCCTCGTGTTGCCCGAAGGTTTTCTACAACGACTGGGGAACACGTAATCCGATAGCCAAAACCCAGAACCTCCACTCCCGACCTGGTGATCCTAGAGGTCCTGCCTAAGGGTGGGTGTTTTGTTTGTTGTCTTGCTGGGGGCCCAAAAAACCACGCTCCCCCCCAGCAAGGACCCGGTGGATCACCAGGTCGGGAGTGGGGGTCCTATCAGGGGGTGGGGGTGGGTTGTGCTGTCCTCAATGTGGGCGCGGGGAGAAACTCCCGATGTCGGCGCCGCACGCACGGGCGAGAGCAGGCAACACGATGCACGGCGCTGGAATCGGAGCGCTCATCCGAAACTCCCACCACAATGCCCCTGATTTGGTTGAAACCGACCGACATGTCTGCCGGCCCCCATGTTTAATAGCACCTGCCCGAATCCGACAGTGACACCTTGGCCCTTGGCTGCTGAGCGTCTTTCAGCAGCCGACCAAACTTAGCAGGTGTCGAGCGCCTCTCACAAGCTCTTGGAGCGTTGCAGCAATGCACCTCGCCCCTGCCAAGAGGACGCCAAGTATCCACCCAGACCTACCCGGATCAGACCAAGGAGGCAATTCCTGGAACGGCGAAGAGCCTACAGCTCATGGTAAGAGGCCACTGAGCCCGTTTTGGTCGAATTAAACACGGTACCAAAGCCGGACAAAACAACATTCACAATATTAAGCGGGAGTAACTGGGGTTCGGCCGTGTTGAGCCGGTATTCGACCACGGATAAGCCAGCCTGGTGCTGAATCGAGCCTCCCAGGAGTTGCGTCCTTACCAGACCAATGGTTGACGGACCCACGAGCGGCGTGCAAGCTCGATCCTGGGCTTACGTTTTGGGGAGCGCGGATTTCTCTAAACTGGCGTGTGCCTGGAAGGCGCGGATGAGGCCACGCAGCGCCAATTTACTCGCGTGTCTGCGCCCGCTAACAAGAACAATAGCAATCCCCAGCCCTTTCACAACACATCCTCTGTACTACTACTACTACTACTACTACTACTACTACTACTACTACTACTACTGCTACTACTGCTACTACTACTACTACTACTACTGCTGCTACTACTACTACTACTACTACTACTACTACTACTACTACTACTACTACTGCTACTACTGCTACTACTACTACTACTACTACTACTACTACTACTGCTGTGAGGAAACAAACACGAAACAAACAACACTCGATTCTGCTTGCGCCGAATTTCAAGGAAACAACTTGAACACACAACCGTCGGAACAACCACCAGGACTGCCATTGAGACAACCATCGGGACAAACGTCGGGACACCCATCGGGACAACTGCTGGGACAACCATCGAGACAATCATCGGGACAACCGTCGGGACAACCATCGGGCCCAACCATCGGGACAACCATCCAGACAACCGTCGGGACCATCATCAAACCACCGTCGGGGCAACCATCGGGATAACCATCAAGCACGTGGGACAACCCAGCGCACGCTCCAGCGAGCCAGGACGCGACCCATTTTGGCGCGACCGGGCTCCAGCTAGCGCAGGAGCTCGCGCAGCTTCGCCTGGCCCGCACGCGTGCACGTCACGCACGGCACGAGCCGAAACCGAGTCCGAGTTGCTGGGATGGGGGCCTCCCTTTAGCCTCGGCCGCGCCCCAACCCGAGCCTCCGGTCCAGCCCGTCTCGAGCACACGCCGCTCTAGACACACCTTCGGGCTTCCTGGCACGAGTGGCTCGGCCAGGACAGCGCCCATCCCCCGACGCGTGGGCTCAATGCAGGCCCCCGGCAAGGAAGGGGGGGCGCGCGCGGCGTTCTACTCCTTCCCGTCGTCGTCGTCGTCGTCCTCCTCCTCCTCCTCATCCTCCTTCAACTCCTCACACTCCTCGTCCGCCTTTTCCGCCTTGTCTTCCTCTTCCATTCTTGACGCTAGGCAAGCTTAGACCGACTGTGATCATCGCGACAATTCCTTTCGCCCCCTCCTCCTTGCCGTCTTCCTCCCCCCCACACACTTATCCCCCTCCCCCTCCGTCCTCCTGTTGCTGTTGGCATTGGGACCGTCAAGCAGCGCAGCCGTCCTTCCTTCCTCCTCCTCCTCTTCCTCTTCCTCCTCCTCGCCGCCCGCCTAAGGCTGCCCCGTGTTTGGGCTCCCTCGCGCTCATGGAGCCTGCTTGCGCCAGTGCTGCCCAGTCCTGCTTCTCCTCCTCGCCCTCCTCCTCCCCCCCCCTCCCCTCCTCTCTCTTGGGGGGGGGGGGGCGGGCGCGCGCGCGCGCGCAGCTTCCTCCGCGTCGAGCGCGGCAGGCCGGCACCGAGCCGGCGTGCGCCGGAGCCAACAGCACAGCGCCGCTGCCCGAGGCCAGAATTTGCACGCAGCACCCCGTAGGTGCGGGTAGTTCGAGGGCAGCTCACGGGGGCCTGCCATGCCACCTTGTTGATTCTTGCGATTCGGCGATCACTCACGCAAATCGACGCTAGTCGCCGCTAAATCTACAGTCCACCCGTATGATAAGGACACACGGTAAGGACGCAAGGGCCTTGGAAGGCCATGTCGACACTTGGCGAGCGGGGCGCGGCCAGCGAGAGCGGCCGAGGATGGGCCGAAGGGGAAGGGTGCAAGGGCCACCATGGAAAATTGCTCATCCTTCCTATGCGGGTTGGCTGCAGTTCGGGGGCAACTCGAGGGCGCCTCCCATACCATCTTGATGGCTCTTGCGAGTCGACGAGCGTCGACGCTAAATCTACGCTGGATCTATGCTGGCGCTGTCCCATCGATCATCCGACGCTAATCGACGCTAGCGGGCGCTAAAGACAGATTCGAGAGGGTACACAAGGCTCCCATGAGTTGCTACCGAACGATAGGTGTGAGGGGGCGGCGGGTCGTCGGCAATCTGCGCGGCTCTGCAGAAGTCCGCGGCAGGCGCCGCTTCATTTTATGCGTTGCACAACGAGCCCGCCGCAGGCGCCGATTACGCCGTCGAAGCAACGTTTGGGTCGCGGATGGGTCGCGGGTGGGTAGCGGAGTGGGTTGCGGGTGGGTCGTGTGGTGGGTCGCGGGTGGGTCGCGGGTGGGTCGCGGGCGAGGACGACGACAACAAACAGCAACAGTAACAACAACAATACCAATAACAATGACAAGAAAAATAGCAACACCAATAGCCATTGTTTTAAGACTGTTCGCTCTTATCTGCTCGCGTGCCATTCAGTACGTATATCCCAAACCATCGATACCTACCCTCTTCGTCTTCGATCGTACCCCCTGAGGGCTATGTCTTCCTGACCTGCAACGTACGCTTGGCAAACAGGGAAGAGAAGACGGATGGAAGAAAGGGACAAGGGGTAGGGAGGAGGATGAAGCACGAGAGAGAGATTAGCAGGAGGGGGGCTAGGAGCAGAAAGCACGTGGCAAAGCCAGCAGGGCAAATCAGGCGGGCAAGATCTAACCGGCGGGTCGGGAATGAGGGCCCAGGCGGCCGGGTCGAGCAGGCGGATTGCGGATTGCAGAAGCGCGAGTCCTGCACGCATCGCCAGGACTCTCGAGGGGGGTGGGAAGCGAAGCGACGCCTCGGAGGATACGCCTCGCCTTCGAGGATCGAGGGAGTTGACGTCCCGTCCTCGGCGGAAAGCGGCGGGCCGGCGGACGACGGAGGAAG